AACTGAAAGGGCAAAGAGGACCCTCTGAGGCTGCAGAGGACCCAGGCTGTCCCAGGTGAGGACCCAATTCATGGGCACCATTTTTTCTTTTTAAGATTTATTTATTTATTTATTTATACAAGCACTGGGTACAGTCAGAAGCACGGGAGGGTGAGAGAATTCACCAGAGCCAGAGAGGGGAGCAGAGCAGGCAGAGGGACCGAAGTACACTGCGGAGGGGAACAGCGGGCGGCATGGGCACCATTTTTAATTCAGTGTTGCTTTGTCAACACTTCTGGGAAAACTCAGTTTCCTAATTCCTTCTCTCCTTCTCTCCTTCCCACAGGGCATCCTCAATTCTCCACCTTGACAGTTTTTGATGACTCCCTCCTCTGGCCATGGGGTGACTCCAAATAGCAGTGAGAGTGTATGACTGTAATGGGGTGGAGTGGGGGAAACAGAGGCTTGGCCGGGGTTCTCAGAGGACTGGCCCGGGGTTCTCAGCAGCTAAACCAGAAGCCACAGTTCTGTCTTAAGGGTAACAGGTGACAAGAGAACCGGAGGGGTGACTGGGGGAAGGAGTAGGGTCCTACACTAGCCAGGAACAGCAACCAGCATTCTAGTCTGAGACCCCAAGAAAGAACAAAGGAGAGGAAAGATGCCACAGAAAACAGGGAAAGACAGATGTGAGAGACTGAACAGGGAGCAGGGAGTGAGGGAAGGGAAAAGCATTCAAACCAACAGGCTACCCAGGTCTGATCCTGATCAAGCACTGAGGTGTAAAGAATGGTTATGAACCCAACTCTGAAATTAAATCCCAGCCCTCAGGAGTTACAGAACATGGAGGTGGGCTGGCAGTTTTATCATCTGTAAAACGGGTGGTAATAACAGTAACAGAACCCAGTGCCTCACATGCCTGACATGATTCAATGAAACAATATGTTAAAGAGCCAGCACAGTGTCTGCACATAGTAAGTGCTCAATAAATATAGGAAAGAGGTCTGTAAACACTAGGAAAGAGAAAAGTGTCCCACAGATGGTTGTTATTAACAAAGGCACTGAGACCAGGACAGCCCAGGGAAGGGCTGGAAGGAGAGTGAAGCTAGGAGGAAGTGTTTTCAAAATCTCGGGCCTTGAGACAAAGTAAAGGCCCAGGGTCGGCACGCTCCAGCACAATGACCGGGGAGGAAAGAGCTGCCCAGGGCGTCAGCCGTCACTCTGGGCTCCTATCGGCCCCCCAGCTAAGGGCCTCACCGTACATGGCCATCACTGGGGAAGATGGACCAAAGGAATGCAGAGATGCTCCCTCAGGAGACTGCAAACCCACGGGGGGAGGGTACGGGGTGGGGGGGCTACCGGACTACAAGGAAAGGGGACCTGCTTCAGAATCCAACACCCCAGAGCATGGATCCCAGCTCTGGCGCCAGAGCTCACAGCCAGGGCAGACCTAGTGCTGGCACAGAGCTGGCCAGGAGCACACCACTCCATGGGCTGCCTCAGCACGAGCCCACAGCTGGGTGCCCCGACCCTGGCCTAACACACAGAGGCCCCACAGACGGGCAAGCCCAAAGTCCAGGCTTTCCATGGAAACGAGGTGGCTCCACAGCCCAGAATGCCCCAGGCAACTCCCCTGCCCCCCTAGTCAACCCCCCCAGGACAATGAAGCACTGTTTTCCAAAGGGTCAAGACTGCTGAGAAGCTGAAAGAAGACATGTCCAGATGCCAGCGGCCACTGGGCACTGCCAACAGCTGGCTTTCCCCAGGAAGAGATGGGGAAGGCAAAGCTACCCAGTCCTGAACCGGATCTACCCCAGCCCACAGAGGCCATTTCCTGGAGATGGCTCCCAGGGTAGGAATGCTGGAGGTAACTATCCACTACTCCGCAGGCTACATGGCTTGTCCCGCAGCTCAGTCACCTGTCAGGAGCACTCACTACCTTATTAAGATGATGACAATCCAACTGGAATTGGATCAATCCGGGTTCCATCCCAGCTGGCGCTGGACCCTCCACCTCAGGTCCCCACATCTGTAAAGGGGTGACAAAACACCTCACTCTCCGAGGGGCCTCGATACTGCCCACCCAGCGTTGAGCCAGGGCCTGCCCCCCATCAAGCTTAAGGTACCGTCAGTGGACCACAGCTGTGGTCACGTCCCCCCAGCACAAGGGGAGAGTGGCGAGGGGCCGGGAGATGTCACCAGCGCAGCACAGCGCAGCCTGTGGGAACTCTGTCCAGGAAACACCAGCCAGAACTCAAACAGGGCGAGCCCCAGCCAAACCAGCGTCTAGCAATAATGAGAAAAGCCACCAGCGGCCACCCGGCAGCACGGAGTGGAGAGAACACACAGGGGAGGACAGGACACGCCGTGTTTGTGCTTTTCTGCCCAAAGAGCTATAAATTTGTAACTTATTAAGCAGCACACGGTGAGTCTGTCACTAGCAGCCACGGGGCGGGGAGAGTTCCCCAATTTTTTTCTTTTTCAGACTAAAAAAAAAAAAACAGTCATGGCAGAGACGCTGCCCCTCTGGCCTTGCCACAGAGTGGACTGTAAGCTGTTTCCCTGTTTCGGGGACCAGGAGGCTCCCAGCTGAGAGCACTCTCGGGAGGAAAATAAAAACACGAGGCCTGGCCTTTGTGTCCACCCTAACTAAGGAAAACAGCTGACCGGCAGTGTGCGAAGCAGCCATCCAGACAGCTGACGGGCCTGAGCGCAGAGGCGAATTCCTCTCCCCTTCTGCACGCCCCATTCCTCCCACCCCAGGCTCCAGTCAGCCAGGCGTGGCTGGCCCCGGGGGAGCTCAGGCCAAGGAAGTCAGCAGCCCCGATCCAAACAACTGAGGAGCCTGCAGTGCCAGGCAGCAGAAGCTACAGGTGGCAGTCCTGACCCCACTGCGACCCCTCCTCAGGAAGGAAGGTCTCTCCATGCCCAAGTGCTGCCCAGCCAGGAGGTAGGCTCCAGTGCTGGTTTTCTCATTTCATGGCTGTGCAGCCCTGGGCAAGTAAGTTAACCTCTCTTAATCTCATTTGGCTTCATTTGTTAAAACGCGGTAGCAATGATAGCAGAGGTCCTAAGGGATTCTTCTAGATGGCTGCTGTGAGGATGGGACAAGTCCAGGTAAGGAGAACGCCACACACAGCAAGTGTACACGCCGACAGTCCCCTCTGCCAGTACACTCTCTTTCCTTTCGGAGACTCACTCAGTTTCCTGGCCCTAAATGGAAGATGGTCAGAGGACAGGAATTCCGACCTCGACGGCAAGCCCTACAAAGGCTTTCTCAGTCCTTCAAACAGCACCAGGACTGTCTAGAGGCCACTGCAGTTTAGAGACTATAGCGCTGCCCCCCCAGTTCCCACTGGGAAAGCACGGAAACATTCAGATCCTGATTCAAAAAAATATCCCGCAGCTGTTTTTATTAAAAAAAAATACCTGCCTGGAAGCCATGCCAACCTTGAGTCTGCTGGAAAGGTGGGTGCCAAGCCTGACCCAAAGGGAGAACTATGCTGGCAGCCATCACACCCTGCAAAACAGGCAGTAACGAACACCATCCCCAGCTCCGGGATCTCACAGAGGCACCCTGATCCCAAAAAGAGGCTGCCAGGAAGCAGTAAGTCCCCGTGTCCTTGGAAGCCCCGCGATTACAGTCAGCCAGTCTTAACTCAGTGTCCTGTGTGCTGGGGCGGCCCAGGAGTCCTGGCTGAAGAGACTGCTCCTCGCAGCCGGGAACAGAGCAAGCATCCGTGGTCATACAAGCCACCCACAGCCCACAAAGAGAAGACAAGGCTCCTACAGAGAAGAACCCACCCCGGCCCGGCCCCCACCCCAGCCACCACCTCCCTGGCCCCAGGCCTTTCAGCCACAGGCCCTAAGGAAAGGGAGAGAAAGTGAATCCTCCCCCTCTCCAGGGGTTATGCCACTCAAGGCATTCCTAGAACCCTGGTACCACACCCCTTGGGTTTAGTGTCTGGCTTCAGGAGCTACTCTGCCCACCTAACACCAGTCCACGCTGGACTGTGAAGGGCAGTGTGGGAGCGCCAGCAACAGGAACACAGTACAACTCTGTTCTGGGCATCCTGTCCTCACCTGTGTGGCTGCCAGCAGGGTTTGATGCTGGGGGAGGGGGCGGGGGGAACTCTGCCAGCCAGGACAAGTTCAGAAATGGCCATTCCTTGGGGCCCACTTCCCACTTCATTCCCCTGGCATCTCAGCACAGCCTGGGCATGGGGGAAGAATCCCTTCTCCCCAGCTTATTCTTCTAGGATCAGGCCGGCGTGTGATATGAAGGAGGAGGGTCTGGTCATACAGTGGACAGACTAGGCAGTCAGTGAAATGGACTGAACTGTCCATGAAACAGGCTGACCAGATCTGAAGGAGGGGTTGGGTGGGGAGGCAGAAGAGAAACTTGCCTTTTGGGGGGTGTGGTCACCCCAGGCTCACCTCTAACAAGGAATCTGACTTGTGACATGAAAAACACAGGTCAGGTGGGGCTCTGCCTAGGTGGGGTGCCAGCCTGTGAAGTGGGGGTGGCCCTCGAGGGGGTGGGGGCAGGTGCTGGAAATCAGGGAGCAACCGTGAAATGCGGCAGCTCCTCCTCTAGCTGGGCGGCGAGCTGTAAGGTGGGGGGACGGAAGCGGCGTCCCCGAAGTGCGGTCCCAAGGCTGGGAAAGTGGTCTGGTCCAGGCAGAGGGGATCCCGTCCCTGAGGCGGACGGGGCGGGCCTACAGGCACCGGGGGGTCCTTGGAGCAGGACTGGGCCATGAGGGGTGGGTCCCCCAGATCGGGGACCCGGAGGTGGGGCCGCCCCCCGGCAGGAGGTGACGGCCGAGGGGACGGCGGTGGGGCCGGCCCTGCCAGGGATCAGGCCCGGCCGGGATCCCGGCCCCGCGGAGCCCCAGGCGGCCGGGAGCCGAGTCGGGACCCGGGGCGCGGGGGTGCGATCCCGCGGCCCCGCCGCTCGCTCGCGCCCTCCCGGCCCAGGGCCGCGCGCCCCTCGCCGCCTCCTCTCCCGGCCGCGGCTCACTCACCGAGGTCGTCCATGGCCGGGCCGCGGGCGCCGGGGACCGGCTCGGCTTCGCGCTCGTCGCCCGTCCCGGGGCCGCTCCTCTCCGCCCCGCAACTTTTCCGCCGCGAGCCTCGGCCCGGAACGGAACGCGCCGCCGCCGCGCGCGCCCGCCGCGCGCCCCGCCCCCGGCCGCCCCCGCGAGCACGCGCGCCCCGCCCGCGGCCGCCCCCGCCAGCAGGCCGGGCCCGCCCCGCGCCGGCCCGCGACCGCGCTAGCCCCGCCCCGCGCCGGCCCGCGACCGCGCTAGCCCCGCCCCGCGCCGGCCCGCGACCGCGCTAGCCCCGCCCCGCGCCGGCCCGCGACCGCGCTAGCCCCGCCCCCGCGCCGGCCCGCGACCGCGCTAGCCCCGCCCCCGCGCCGGCCCGCGACCGCGCTAGCCCCGCCCCGCACCGGCCCGCGCGCGCGCGCCCCGCAGGCTGGTGGGCGCTCCCGGGAGGGGCGGCGGCGCCCCCTGGCGGCCCAGCGGCGGGTGGGCGGCTCCCGGGCCTCTGGCCTCCGGGTCGGTTGGCCTGCCTCGAAGTCACACGCCTGACCCGAAGACTGACAGATCTACCCGCGGTCCCCACAGCTCACAGCCCGGCGTGACTGTCCATGCGTCCGGCGCTCGCTCATCTCGCGTGTGTCCGCTGGAGAGTCGGGTTTTAGGGCCGTCTGGGTCTCCCGGTAGGTCACCCCCCAGGAGGGCCTAGTCCGTGCGGGCCAGTCTGGGGCCTTTCCTGGGGGCTCCCCCTGGACCCAGAGCGGGGCCGCTGCCACCTGCCTTTGCCGCCAGACTCAGTCCTTTCCAGTTTAAATACTCCTCAGTCTTCCTCATGCCCCCACCTGAGGGAGACTTCCTGAGCCCCGCATGGAGCAGAGGGGACCCCACCTTGGAGGAAAAACTCTCCTGGCTGCCCAGGTCCTGAAACACCCACTGCCACCCCAGACGCCAGAAGGGCTCTCCTCCCACAGCTCAGAAACTGGGTAATCACAGCTGTCCTGTATCAAGTGTCAGACACTGTGCAAATGTTATCTAGATTAATTCCCCCTAGGGGTAGCTACTGCTGTCAGCCCTTCCCCAGTCTTGGAAATGGGCGGTGGTAGTTTGTCGCTTTGGTATAAAAACAAATGTAGCTTCAAGCTCTCCTAGCCACGAGAATCCACTCCCCTACGCTTCTGTGTCAAATGCAGGAAACAGATGTTGAGTTAGAGGGAGGGCAACGCCTGTGAAAGAGAAGGGGGAAATGAGGGCCGGGCAAGAGAGTCAGATCTGCCACAGATGGACCAAGCATTGGGGAGCCCAGGAACATAACACCCTCTTCAGAGGGGTTCCCTCTGGGCAAAAGTGTCAAGGCTCCAATTCCCCATGTCACCTGGGGATTCTTGAGAAGAGGGGAGTTTTGTCCTGAAGGCTCAGTATCTGGAAGCTGACAGTCCAGGAGCTTCTTTGAATGCAGACCCTTGGAGCTGATCTCCATGACTGCCACACCCTCCCTCCCATATTAAAATTGGAGAGGCAACACTGGTCCCCAACCAGGCAGTCACCGCATTGCATGACCTTCCAACACCCTTCATTTTCCTCTGTTTTGCAGGCACTTCTCACTGTACCACTGTACCGGTAGCGGTGGATTATCCGATGTGTTGTTATCAGACCAGAGCAGGTGAGGGACAGAATCAGGTCCATTTCTGCTCATCACACATCAGAGCCTGTATGCGTGTCGCCCATGGGTATTCATTATTTACTTCCTGGATGACTGGCAGGTATTGTGCCTAACACTTGGAACAGAGTCACAGTTTAATAGAAACAGAAAATTAAGATAGTGAGCTCATTACTCATTTAGTTACATATTTACTTTTTTTTTTTAATAGAGGCATGCTTATTTATTTATTTATTTGTTTGTTTGTTTGTTTGTTTTTTGTTTATACATGCACTGGGTACAGTCAGAAGCACGGGAGGGTGAGAGAATTCACCAGAGCCAGAGCGGGGAGCAGAGCAGGCAGAAGGACCGAAGTACACTACTGAGGGGAGCAGCGGGTGGCAGGAGAGGTCTGCGCGCCATGTGGGACCCTCCACCGGTGGCCGGGGAGCAGCCGGGGGATCGAACCGGCGCCACAGACGCTGCGGGCAGCTTCGCAACCCAGCGCTCAACCGCTGCGCCACCGGGGAGGCCCCACATATTTACTTTTTTTAAAGATTTATTTATTTATGCATACAAGAGCTGGGGTACAAGCCAGAGGTGCCGGGGGATGAGAGGATTCACCAGAGACAGAGTAGGGAACAGAACAGGCAGACTGACTGAAATATACTGCTGAGGGGAGCAGCGGGCATGACAGGAGAGGTCTGCAGTGCCATGTGAGTCATGGTCCCTGGCCAACAGGGGATAGAACTCATGCTGCAGATCCTGCAGATTACTTCATAGTGCGGTGCTTAACCCCTTGTACCACCAGAGAGGCCCCTGTTCACATATTTAATGGTGCTTGTGCTTTGGGGGGGCTCGGAATGTAATGATGAATAAGACTGATACGGTGCCTGTGTACTTGGTGCTTACAGTCCAACAGGGAAGGCAGAAAAGCTAACATACCTGTGTGAAGAATGAATAACCTCACACAATTCCCAGCTGCCTGGAACAGCATATGCAAAGGCTCATAGGCAAGATAGAGACCATGGTGCACAGGAACAACTAGGAGGAAATTGCAGTGTGGACTACAAGGCTGGGAATGATAACAGGGAGGGCAGAGGGGTCAGAGGGATACCTGTGCTGTATCAAACACCCAGCTAAAACTGGGGGGTGGGGGTGGGAGAAGAGGAATCCACAATAATTAAGTCCATGCTAGGTGCTAGAGTTTCCAGAGTGAAAAATATGCTAATGCTGTAATGGTGGGTGATATTCCTATAGGGATGTAATGTCACATTTCCTTTCCAGGAGGTCAGGTGAATTCTCTATAGAACACTAATAATAACAGTTATTCATATGAGACCAACACTGGGCTAGGCACTATCCATGCTTTTTCACATTGACTCCTGACCACAAGTCTAGGAGATGATCACTGTTATCCCCTTTTCCAGCTGGAAAAGCTGAGATCAGAGAGAAAAATATTTACTAAATAAAAGCACAATATAGGGTCTCCCTGGTGGCACAGGGGTTAAAATCTTAGCGCTATCAAGCTATCACCAGCCACTGCAGCCTGAATTCAATCCCCCCGTGCTAACCCACATGGCACAGCAGATCTCTCCTGTCTTGCCACTGTGCCCCCCAGCAGTGTATCTCAGTTGACCTGCCTGTTGTGCTCCCCACTCTGTCTCTGGCGAATCTTCTCACCCCCCACACCGCTGGCCTACACCCCAGTTCTTGTATGCATAAATAAATAAAAATAAATCTTTGGGGGAAAAAAGAGCACAATATGTTCTAAATTACAGCAAAAATTATGAATGGAGGTTGAAATGCTTCCTGGGGGCTTTGACAACTCCCCAATGTTTGGAGAAGCTTTGCTGGAGGAGTAATTCTGAGAAAAACTGAACATTGTAACAGCAAGGAATCCCAGCTTTTCTTAGCTTATCAGAGGGAGGATTCAGGAATTTATGAACCACTAAGTCCCATTTTTCTCATGCACAAGGCTAGACTGCCGAGATTCTTCCTGGCAAGTTACATTCCACACCTGCCTGGGAAGGGAGGGTTTAGACACACAGGACTGCAGGGGCAGAAGAAATCTCAAGAGATGATCCAGCCTTCAGTGGGTGGGGGGTTGGGTTCCTCTCCAAAGCTCCAAAGCAGCTCTGCCCTCACCTGCCTGTGTATCAGCCAAGGGCTCACAGGTTGACCAGCTCTCCTGGAAGCCAACATGTCATCTCCCTCAGTTTCCACGTCAGCGATGCCGCCATCCCTCCCTCGTCCTTTCTGAGTGGAGCCAAGCTGCCACCTGTGGCGTGGTTCTGCACTGACCTCCAAGCTCGGCCCCTGTGGTCTATTTTCTGTATTTTTTTTTAAGATTTATTTTTATTTATTTATGATCAAAGAACTGGGGCGTAGGCTAGAGGTGCAGGGGGTGAAAAGATTCACCAGAGACAGAGTGAGGAACAGAACAGGCGGATCTGCTGAAATAGGCTGCTGAGGGGAGCAGCAGGTGAGACAAGAGAGGTCTGCTGCGCCATGTGGGTCAGCTCCCTGGCTGGGATGGAAGTGGGTGAAAGCTTGATAGTGCTGAGACTTTAACCCCTGTGCAACCAGGGAGGCCCGCCTGTGGTCTATTTTCATCCAAAAGCCAAAGTTGTTTTCTTCCAATCAACCTATTGAATTGTAGTCTATATCCAAAAAATGCACCCATTGTTAACTGTGCTAGTTTGATAAGCTTTGATAAGTTCTTATACCCGAGAACACCCTCCCAACCCCCAGTCAAGATACAACACATTCCATCACTCCTTCATGCCCCTTGCGCCGGATCCCCTCCCCCTTCTGGCTCAGGTAGCCAGGGGTTTGCTGTCTGTCACCACAGATTACTTTGCATTTTCCACTATACCTTTATATATATAAATGGAATATATGTTCTCTCTTTCTCTCTCAACTCTGAGGTTGAGGGGGGTGTACTGGCTTCTCTGCCTTAGTGTGTTCACAAGATCCTCCCATGTCATCGTAGCAGCATGTCAAGTCACCCCTTTTTATTGCTGATTACCACCCCATTATGGGACACTTTGTTTCTCTGTTGTGCTGTTGATGGCTATTTGGATTGTAGCTCCACTTTGGAATAAAGCTGTCATCATGAATATTCATATAAACATCTTTATTGGGACATATTTGCCTTTCTCCTAGGCACAGAACACCCGGATCACAGAGCAATGTTTAAAAATATATCCTCCAGGGCCTCCCTCCTGGTGCAGGGGTTTAAGTCTCAGCGCTATCAAGTTATCACCAGCTACTGCAGCATGAGTCCTATCCCAGGTCAGGTAGCTAATCCACATGGCACAGCAGACCTCTCCTGTCTCACCTACTGTTCCCCTCAGCAGTGTATTTCAGTGGATCTGCCTGTTCTGCTCCCCACTCTGCCTCTGGTGAATCTTCTCTCTCTCACACACACACACCCCAGCTCTTGTATGCATAAATTAAATCTTAAAAAAAAAGTGTATATATGTATATGTATATATGTATATGTATATGTATATGTATATATGTATAACCAACCAAGTAGTTTCCTGTTGCACTTGGAATAAAATCCACACTCCTTCCAGGGCTCTCCAAGACCACACCTCAGAGCTTGTCCTCTCCTCATCTTCCTACCTAGCCCTCCAGCCTGGCAAGCTCTGGAGCCTTTATACCTTCGAGACCCTTCTGGAATGTTCTTTCCAGATCTTGGCTCAGCTGTTCCTGTTCATCGCTGAGGTCTGACTTCACCATCTGGACATTTTCTCCCATCCCCCTTCAGTCCCTATTCCCTCATTCTGTTTTATTTTATTCACCCGCTGACATTATATTCTGTGTTTACTTATCTCTTCATGATTCACCTCTCCCTCCCCCATTAAAATATCAGCATTAGGAGAAGAAGAACCGTCTTGTTGGAAGCGTGAAGGGGACACCTGGTACCAGGTGCTGTCTTGCCTGTGCTGTGTATTTCGCTGCAGGATCAATCTAGACAAGAGGGCCTCCCTGGTGGCACAGGCGGTTGAGTGCAGCACTGTGAAGCTGTCTGCACCTCTGCAGTGCCGGTTCAATCCCTGCCTGCTGCAGAGATACCCGCGTGGCGTGGCAGACCTCTCCTGTCTCACTCGCTGCTCCCCTCAACAGTGTATTTTGGTTGGTCAGCCTGTTCCATTCCCTGCTCTGTCTCTGGTGAATCCTCTCACCCTCCCGCACATCTGGCCTGTACCCCGGTTCTTGTATAAAAATAAATAACTCTTAAAAAAAAATCTGGACAAGAACCCCAAGACCTGGGTTCCCCAAAGCCTCTCCTCCATGGCAGGCCTTTCACAAGGCGCCCAGAACTGACAAAGAAGATGCTAACTAAAAGCAGAGAACTGGAAACAACCCAATGTCCATCAATAGGGGATTGGTTAAATAAATTACATACAGACCTACAATGGAAAACTATGTAACCACTGAAGAGATGGAGGAAGCTTATTATGGCCTCACATAAAACAGTCTCTGAGATCTAAAAAACAAAACAAAAATCTGAGCAGTGTGTGTAACATGTGTATCCTTTGTGGGGGAAATGTAGGAAACAATATATTTGTTTATGAGATGACTCTGGAAGAAGACATAAACACCCATGTCCTCCCCCCACCCCCAGGGGTGGAGGTGACAGGGCTCAGGAGGAGGAAGTTAAATTAACTACCCTTATGAATCTTTTGGATTTCGAGTCACATCTGCATTTCTTCCTATTCCCAAAATGAAGTACTATTTTTAAATTTTTTTGTTAAGATTTATTTTTATTTTGTGCATACAAGAACTGGGGTGCAGGCCAGAGGTGTGGGGGGTGAGCAGCGGGTGAGACAGGAGAAGTCTGCTGTGCCATGTGGGTTAGCTCCCTGGCTGGGGATCCAACTCATGCCTCAGTGGCTGGTGATAGCTTGATAATGCTGAGACTTTAACCCCTGCAGGGAGACCCTGAAGTACTATTTTAAAAATACAATATGGCTATAAAAATGACACTGCAGTGCCAGGGAATCAGCTGTGGGAGAATGAGTCCAATGAGGCTTAGAGAATGTTCCCTGGAAAGAGCTAGCCCTGACCTGATTTTCTGTGGGAACGGGAGGCAGTGGGGAGAGCCCTCTA